GTACACTAGAAGAAGATAGATACCCAAATAAATTGGTGTTGTCCTTTTCCCTCAGGAGGACATCCCCCACTACCTCATGAGCAGTCTATCTTTTATATGTCTATGGATTATACTAAGGACCGGGAATTTATTTCTCAGATTGGTAATCTTGAAAACGCTGTTTTACACTGTTACCGCATGAGGTCTCCAAAATCGGTTCGGAGTTCACTCATTGTCAGTTCACTGCTGTTTGCTCGTCACTCCCGTCAGTGTCCTGTTGATCTTTAATCGTTTATCTCCTGTTGATCAATATACGAATTTTTACCGCATAAATATGTTACGTATACTTAACGCTGCAAATCCTAAATGTGCCGTCGGCTGTCACTTTCATCTTCCGGTAAGTTTCAACAATTTGTTTTAATTCTGAAAGATGTTTAAACTTTAAACGCAAACATCTTTATATAGCACTCAAACCCTATTTAGTTCATTGTAATATTGAATTGCGTAAATAATCACGTCTGAAAAGATTCTGACGAAAATGTTACGTTGCAGTGTGCGCGCGCTTCGACTGAAAGTGACAATGGATTTTCAAAGAGGCTAGTAAATGGTCCACAATTTGAAGATTTCCTCAAAGACAATGTTAAAGAGTACGATGGCAAACTAAAATTAGATGTAGGTGAGTCAGGACGTCTGAGGTTGCCACCCTGGCTAAAAAAGGAGATACCTATGGGTGAAAGTTACAGTAAAATAAAGGCACAACTCAGGCAATTGCGTCTGAGCACAGTCTGCGAAGAAGCTAGATGTCCTAATATCGGAGAGTGCTGGGGTGGAGGTAGTCACGGTACAGCAACAGCTACTATTATGGTTTGTATAATAAACCTAGGACTGATTATCCAATTAATTTTACGAGCAATCATATATTAATAATCTTGCAAACATTTCTATCTTCATGAAACCACAAGTTAATTGTTATATCAATCTGTTTTAGATTATATACAGTCAAAAGATACTAGAATAGGTATACCTGACATCTTTCATACTATTTTTACTCCTAATAAACATTTAACTTTTGCACCTGGTATTTAATTATGTACAAATATCTCACAAAAATCCAAAGTTATCATTTAGCTATATAAATGGTACACAGACTCACTCATCTGTCCATTGCATATTGAAGAGAAAAAATTAAATAGAAAGTTAAAGTTGTGGAGAATAAATAAATAATTAAGATTGTGTCAAGACAGCTAGTCCATTTTCTAGTTAATGGGAGACACCTGTACTCGCGGCTGCCGTTTCTGTTCCGTCAAAACTGCACGTAAGCCACCGTCGTTGGACCCAGAGGAGCCAATCAATACCGCCAACGCAATAGCGGACTGGGGTTTGGATTATGTCGTTTTAACATCCGTAGATCGCGATGGTTGGTTATATAAATCAATATCAAAAACTAAAATTAAATCGTTCTAATATAGACCCACAGAATTCACATCATCGATTAATTTCAGATCTAACGGATGGTGGTGCTAGTCATATTGCATCTACTGTTAAGGAAATAAAAAAGAGGTATCTTACCTATAGAACTGGTTTTTTTACTCATTTAATAGAACAAGTAAAGATTAAAAAGAATAGTGCTAAAATTTTATCGCCTTTATAGAAATATATTTTGTTTTATCATAGGAGCAATATCCTAGTGGAATGCCTGGTGCCAGACTTCAGAGGCGATGACGATTGTGTCGCTACGATTGTGAATTCTAATCTGGATGTGTTTGCACATAACATTGAAACCGTCGAACGTTTAACTCCTTTCGTTCGCGATATGCGCGCTCGATATAGGTACGCGTAATGCAAGGTTGGGAAAGTTACTTTATAGAAGTATCTAGTGCTAGACCCGATCTACAATGAGTTAGTCGTTAGTCAGAACTATATGTCGGTCCTTTTTCTCCCACCCAGAAAGGAAAAGAATCAACATATAGTTTCAACTTCTAACAACTTATTGTAGACCAGGCCTTACAGTTACTCAAAGAGTAACGAATCGTTACTTTCTTGCAATAAAAATAAAGATATCAAATCTGCATTAAAATTTTTAAGCGTTGATAAAGGCATTTATGTGCAAATTCTAGGTCTAATGCAATCTGTAGAGGTTTAAAATATATATCGAGTAACTATTAAATTAGTTACTAGTTATCGAAAAAGTATAACTGAGTATGAGTTGAGTTACAGTTACAGATGCAGAGAAAAGCCTGGATTACGATGAACTTAACGTAACGGGACGCGACGGGACGTGAAGTGAACTTAACGTTAAGGTATTTTGTGAAATTACGATCGTCGTAACGTGTCGTAAAACAGCGTGCATTGACAGCGTTGGTAATTCAAAATTAATTCTGCTGTGAGGCATTATCAATTTTGTAATGTAATTTTGGCCGGATATTTGTATCTTCAACTGCGGAAGAGGAAACGAATACGAACTGTTGGTGTGAGAGATTTTTTGGAGAAGAATCAAGTTTGGTGACGGATTTAACCTAACCAACAATACCAAATGTTACTCTTGAATTCGAGTGCAACGCGCACAAGAATCGAGAGCGTTGATTGGCTGAAAGAGTCACGTGAACAGCCCGACTAGACACAACGCGACGTGAAGCTTGACATTGGCAGTTTTCACCTTGCGTTAAGTTCTGACACTTCACGTCACGTCGATCGTAATCAGCCGCATATAAAAACAATGGCCACGTTCAGCAGAACGTTTATTTTGCAACTGTTGAACATTTCTGTACTGAGATTGGATTACATTTTTAGAACCAGAGGAATAATCCAATCATAGCACAGAAAACTTCCAACAGTTGCAAAATAAACGTTCTGCTGAACGTGACCATTGTGTTTAGGTTTTACGTTACGTAACGTCCCGTCGCGTCCCGTTACGTTAAGTTCATCGTAATCCCGGCTAAAGTAATGAAGTTAGAGTTACCAAAAAAAGTAACAAGTTACTTTCCAACCCTGGCGTAATGTATTCTTATGATCTAATATATATTATAAATATTTATGATTGTTAATTCAAGTTAATTAGTCGTTTACTATGTACAGGCAGTCAATGGCTGTATTGAGAGCAGCTAAGAAATTCAACCCCAATTTAATCACGAAATCGTCGATTATGCTGGGACTGGGCGAGACCGATGAGGAAATCGAGCAGACTATGCGGGATCTAAGAGACGCTGGTGTGGATGCTGTAACATTGGGACAGTACATGCAACCCACCAAAAGGCACTTAAAAGTCATAGAATATGTAACACCCCAAAAATTTAAAGCATGGGAAAATGTGGGGAATGAACTAGGCTTTCTGTACACTGCTAGCGGTCCATTAGTTCGGTCATCATATAAAGCTGGGGAATACTTCTTGACAAATATACTAAAACAACGGAAGAAACAACAGATTGACGATCATACTATGTCGTAAATAGAAGATACAGCAATGTAAATGGATATTCAGTTAAGATACAATAGGAAATCAATATAAGTAATAAAGTTACAGACGTTGCGAGAAGAAAGTCACAATTTAGTAATAGAATTACCTGAACATGTTACTATTAATGGACTAATAATAAATGTTCTATAAATTACAGATTTATCATTGTTACAAAATTGATATTTAATCGTAAAATGCAGCTTTCTGTTATATATAAATTGAATGCAAATAAAATTTATATTACTATTTTAATCCGTGTCCATGGCAATAGCAACTTGAGGATCTTGAGGAGCTTCATCAGCTGGCGGATCTTGCGGAGGTCTGGTGTCGTCTTGTATAGCCGGCTCGGTAGGCCTTCCACGTTTATCGTCTCCTTCAATTTGGGACAAGTAAGCAGCCGTTGTAGTTTCATCGAGAATAGCGAAATCGTAACCCTTCCCTACTATCCCAATTGATACATTCTGAAATGTAAAGGTTTAGATTTTTTTATCTTTTTAATTAACAAATAAAGTTAGATCAGGACTTTCCAAGATGTAAATCAAATAGGATACGAGAACGCCAAATTACTTCTTAGGTCCGAGTAGGATAAAGGTAGCTTAATAATTTTTTAATTAAATGTGTGAATTTCTTTTCAATTAAGATTGACTCCTAAAATTATATGTATATCGGCAAGATTTTTATTATGAGAATTTCATATTTTATAATTTGTTGCACATTTAGCAATATATTTTTAAGTTTACACACACAAACACCCGCGCGTGTGCATAGTGTGTGTATATATATATATATTAGCTTTATCGTTAGTCAGACATGCAATATATATATTAGCTTTAAGAGAGATATTTGCTAAATTAAACTTCTATTTTATAAGTATATGTATGATTGGAAAATTGAAGATTGCAAATGAAGGGACATTAAACAAAAATGGTATAGCTCGTTTCGAAAATTTATATTTTAATAAAATACCAGTTGGTCATGAAATCTACTTACCTTCACTGATAAGTCAACTTCATTAGGTAGGGTGTCACGTAACGCTCTAAGGCCATGCTTAACTAACTCGTCAAGATCGCACGACAGAAATTCATTTAAATGTTTCTCCAAGTACGTCCTTGCACTTTGAGAACGAGCTCCTATAGCCATTGCTTTACAGTCGAAATAATTTGCCGATGGACACGTCTGATAAATATGTGGCCCTTGATCCTATCGAGGGTAATCACCGTTAGAAAAATATATTTGGCGTATAATAAATTATACGTTTTGATCTTGAATAAATTCTCACATCATATCCAGCCACGATCAAACCGACACCATATGGACGTCGATCATATCTTTGTGTGCATGTTTGCATCTTATTTCCCAGAGATGTAATTAAGCGACCCACAGGTAATGTATCGTCATGAGCATACTTATAATTCAAACACTCGGTTCGCATATAACGGCTATAAATAAAATTAAAAATATAGCTGTGTTGAAAAAAATGGAGAGAGAGAGACACATACTTCTATTCTATCTGCATAATCTAATACAATGACAGTGGTAGCTAACTTCATCACAGTGAAAGGATTAAAAAATAATCAAAAGAGTAGATCCGCTAATATATATTCTTTCATAAATAATAGAAACAGAGATGGAATAATAAAAACTGGCAAACAGTATACCTTAATATTCTTGCATCAGCTGTTAAACCTGAGATGCTGATTCCCATATGTTTGTCTATCGGTATGATCTTCTTCTGATGAGCTGATAGCTCTGATGATGCTCTCTTCAGTGCAATAAGAACGGCATGTGTTTTGCTCTTAAGACCTACAGTAGCTGATCCCAATTTGACAGCTTCCATAGCATACTCCACTTGATGCAGTCGTCCCTGCGGACTCCACACTGTCACATCACTATCGTACTGATTGCGAAACTAAAAAACACATTTAATTATTGAAGTAATAGACGTCATACATGTATTTCTATTCAATTAACGTAAGTACTTGTGTCTAATTTTTAGCTAAGAATATTTAATTTTTATTTTATTCATACAAGTCGGTGTCGAACAAGATAACTTTGTCTGATGTTTTGTATCAACGGTTAGTACCCTCCCCTTGTTTGTATCTTGATACAATTTCATTGTATGCATAATATTACAGCTTGATCTTATATTCACGATTGTCTTAAGTACAATCTCAAGACTCAATATGATAGTTTTATTGGTTTGATGAAATCTTAAAATTTTCAACAACCAGACTTAAGGCAATCTTGAATATAAGTTTAGAGTATGAATACTGTCCAAAGTATCTTGTCTTAGTATATGTATCCAGTGATTCATTGTCAAGATGTAAATAGATAAGCAAAAAATAGTAAGCATTGACACAAAAGACGGATTGAAAATTGCATCTAACGTTACTAATACAATAGTTGTTAGTAATCTGTTTCACGCTGCTTCCAGATAGCAAACAAACCGACATTATTTGACATCATTTTAATGTCACGTTTAGAAATGTCATTTTAGTACAAAAATGACGACAGATAACATCTGTTTGTTAGATTTCACCATCAGTTGCCTAATGATCATTACAAAGCAGAATGTGCAATTCAGACTATTCAATATTTTGAGTAGCAAATATAAAATATTTCATACTGAGGTACATACATAATATAGGATGTATAGAATTATCTTATTGTATATTTTCGGTGATACAGCTTAAGTGGGAAATTGTGCAAAACCAAAAACAACACGATACATGTTAATCTTTATTCAATCTGAGTAGCAAACCGAGCATTACATACACATTTTTCGCCTTCTAAGACGATACATTTCTTTTTTTAATTAAATATCTTTAATCATTGCTATTTTGCTATGTACATTACCCGTGCTTTCCAGCAAGCGACACAAGTCGACACAAATGTCGTTCTGTCTTTCTTCGCATTCAATGAATAATAAAGACAGAACGACACTTGTGTCGACTTGTGTCGCTTGCTGGAAAGCACGGTACATGTGTTTTTACATTGCTAAATGCAAGTACACATAACCATAAAAATGACGGCTTTGACACGACTTGTAATTCTCTTTGCAAAACTCATTAAGTAAACAAAAAGTTTAAACCACAATTTATCGACAATTAACTAAATACTTACCATTTTTATTAGTACTTCTTTAAAAGAAGGATAAAAGTAATAATGTCACTCGCAAACCACAAGACTCTTACGCCGACCAACTAAAATTACTTGTCATGCAGTGAGCCAGTGATGTTGCAGCGTTGAGCTGCGTTCAGAAACCCAAGTGTTTCAATGGCCACGTTCAGCAGGCACAACTGGGTGCTTTCCAATTGCAATATCCCTAGACACTTTCGTGCACACGGCGACACAAATGGCGTTCCCACGGTCTTGTATAGCGTTCGGCAAAAAAATCTGAGATGCGAGCGAGCAGATGTCGAGCTTGAATCACGTGATCTCCGAGCAAGCCGAGCACCAGTGAACTCTATACATACTGGAATGAGTGATCTGTAGTTCTGGCTGTTGCCGAGAGAGAGGTGCGTTGGGTGAATCCTTGTCTCCTTCTAGTACTACCTGATTGGATAATCGCATATAAAGCCCGCTGCAGACGATGCTATTTTTCCTGCTGGATTGCTTGCAATTTAGTAAATTACTATCATTGCACCACTCAGCATTCAGGATTCCTAGTAATTTACTAAATTGCAAGCAATCCAGCAGGAAAAATAGCATCGTCTGCAGCGGGCTTAAGTGATGCCCTTCTTCTCGTTATTTATATGCGACTATCCAATCAGGTAGTACTAGAAGGAGACAAGGATTCACCCAAACGCACCTCTCTCTCGGCAACAGCCAGAACAATAGATCACTCATTCCAGTATGTACGTATAGAGTTCACTGCCGAGCACTAATCTCAATGCCGAACGATTTCAGAGCTCTTAGAGCTGATTAAGGACGTTCATCGGCTGTAATTATTATGGTATTGTTTCAAGTTTTAGAAATCAGGATTCTTATGTCAACTAATTTTAGTTTGTAATTTGATTTTGTCTATATATCGTTTTTCACTCTTTTATTTTAGAATTGTTAGCGTTTCTGATTGAATGAGATGAGGTTAGGTTAAGTTGGATATACGATGGAAGAT